CACATTACCTTGCCTTGCCTGGACTCAGTTTCCTCATTTGTAAAATGCAGGACATTGGGCTAAGTGGCTTCTGAGGTCATGTCCTGTTACCTCTCTGGGCCTCAGTTACCTGATCTGAAAAATGAGAAGGTTGAACTCACCCTCAGCGTCCCTTCCAGCTCTCTGTCTATACCCCCAGGTGTTTTCAGTGCTTACTGATATAGCATGGCTGGTGCCGAGGGGTGCCAGCGCTGAGCTCTTGTGAGAGTCTGCAGGCCAGAGTGATCCCCTGTGGAGGGCGTCCCCAGGTGTCTCATTTTATGCCACAAGCTGTTTCTCGGTTGATTCCTGCCCCTTGGGGATCTGAGGCATATTCTGCTCACCTGCCGATGCCGGGCACCTGGGCTGTTTTCATCCCCAACGCCTTAGACATAGCGGGCAGCAGTGAGGAGCAGCGCAGAGGACGCTGGAGAACCCTTGAGATGGGAACGGAGTTCGAGGACGGGCTTGGCCCAGTGCACGCATGGGACCTCAGACAAGGCAGCCTTGTCTTCTGTAAAATTGGGATGGGGGGGAATGAGGGGAACAGGGTTAGGCTCGCTGACTTCTCAGGTCTCCCCCTAGCCCTGAATGCTCTTGGACTGTTCTGTTCCTCGCCTCGACATCTCCCTGGCCTTTCTTCAATCTCTGGCCTTCCTCCTGCCCTCCCACCCCCCAAAACCTCATTTGCCCACGTGTTTCCCCATGACAGTTCCAATATAACTGCTTTACTGATTAAGTGCTCTGTCTTTATTTCATGGTCCATGTTTCCAGAGCTGGTGTGGCTAGTGAGCTGGCCTCAGAGTCCGGAAGACCTGGGCTGTGGTTCTGGTTCACATTCTATTGGCTGTGTGACTCTGGGCAAATCACGGCACCTTTAGGCGTCCCCAGGCCATTCAGACTAGAAACTGCAAAGCGGTGGTCTATCTGCTTTGATCAGAAGGCGGTTTCTCAAAGGGAGCCCCTATGCCAATGAAATAACAGGACAGCAACTAGGTGGCACAGTGCTGAGAGCCCTGGGCCTAGAGTCAGGAAGACCTGAATCTAAATCCAGCCTCGGATACTTATTAGCTGTGTGACCCTGAGCAGGTCACTTCACCTCTGTCTGCCTCAGTTTCCTCATCGGTAAAATGACCCCATTTGGGGTTTTCTTGGCTGAGATACTGGAGTGGTTTGCCATTCTCTTCTTCAGCTCATTTTACAGATGAGGAAAATGAGGCAAACAGGGTTAAGTGACTTACCCAGGGTCACACAGCTAGGAAGTGTCTGAGGCTAGATTTGAGCTCAGGAAGATGAGTCTTCCTGACTCTAGGCCTGATGTTCTACCCACTATGGCACCACCCAGCTGCCTACTACTACTGCTACTATTACTATTACTACTGCTACTGCTACTATTACTACTGCTACTGCTACTATTCCTACTACTACTACAACGACTGCTGCTGCTACTATTACTACTATTACTACTTCTTCACCTCTTGCTGTTCCAGGCAGTTTATTGTTTAAGACTCTAAGCAGTCATCAGTTGGCTTTTTTTTTTTTTAAGGCAATTGGGGTTAAGTGACTTGCCCAAGGTCACACAGCTAGTAAGTGTCAAGGGTTTGGTCTGAGATCGGATTTGAACTCAGGTCCTCTTGACTTCAGGGCTGGTGCTCTATCCACTGCGCCACCTAGCTGCCCCTATCAGTTGGTTTTGAAGGGGGAATTTTCTTAAGGGATGTTCCTTAAGCCAGTGACACAAGTCCAAGCCAGAAGCAATGACTCTTTCGCCATCCATCCTGCTGCTCACTTTTCTCCCACGTGCTGTCCCTCTGTACTCTGCAGCCCAGTAAATAGAGCCACACGGGTTACGTTAGAGTGGAAGCTCCTCGAGGGTGTCCTTAGGCGAGCACCAGGCACAGGGTCTGGCCCCTTAGCCGATGCTAAGTGCTTAGTGACTGATTGATAATCACCTGTGGGGGGCAGGCCCTGTGCTTCTCTCTGGGGGAGGAGACACAGTTTAGGTCTGACGTCTTCCCTGCCCTCATGAAGCTTCCAGTTTACACTGGTGGCTCTCAGTCTCTTCTAGTATGAGGCCCTCCCTTGTACCTCACACAAGAGAGTTGAACTATTTGTTTCCTTTCACTGAGAAAGGGCAGATAAAAAAGCTACCACGAATCCAGTCCTGCTTTAAAGTGATTTTGTATCTTCTTAATCACATCTGTAGACATTTGAAAAGAAGTAATGCGTAATATGCTAGATTTATCTGTCTATTGGCAGTATGTTTATGCATGGGTTTGTATGCCCCGTGTTGACCGCAGTGCACATCAGACCGTAACATGATCTATTCTCCAAACCTATTTTGGTCACGAAGTTTTGTTTCGGTTTGTTTTTTAACAGCCTGGCCACTTCTGGGTAACCCTCACCATATCATCCTCTCCTTTATAATGTCAACAAAAATTAAGCAAAACCATCTAATAGTGAGTGCTGCTGACATGAAAAGTGGCACAGTTTGCACCCACAGTCCCCCATTCTCTTCTGGGGAAAAAGATGATGTTCAGTCACGTCTAACTCTCCATGACCTCATTTAGGGTTTTCTTGGCAGAAGCACTGGAGTGGTTTGGCATTTCCTTCTCCAGCTCATTTTACAGGTGAGGAAACTGAGGCACACAGGTGTAAGTGACTTGCCCAGGGTCACACAGCTAGAAAGTATCCGAGGCCAGATTTGAACCTGTGAAGATAATCCTTCCTGACTCCAGGCCTGGTGCCCTGATCCACTATGGCGCCACCTAGATGCAGGATAGGATCACAGATTAAGAACTAGAAGGTACCTTTGGAGTCATTGAATCCAGTGCTTTCATTTTATGGATTTTATCATTGAGGAAATTGAGGCCCAGACAAGATAAATGACTTGTCCAAGATCCTATAGCTAGTCCACAGTACAGAAGAAAGCGTTTTGACTTCAGTCAGCTGGAACCAGGCTTGATCATTACATTTGATCAGTTATCTTTTTGTGCTGTCTTGATTTATATTATTGGAGTCATTCTGTAAATATACTGTCCTTCTCGTTCTCCTCTTTCTCTTTGTGTCAGTCATACAAGTCATGTGATTGTAGATTTAGAGGTAGAGGGGCCCTGAGGACTTTAGGTCATGAGTGAGACGTAGATGGCTATGATGGTGCCATGGCGCACAGAGCCCTGGCCTGGAATCAGGAAGACTCATCTTCATGAGTTCAAGTCTGGCCTCTGACACTTACTAACTACGTGACCCTGGGCAAGTCACTTCACCCTGTTGGCCTCAGTTTCCTCATCTGTAAAATGATCTGAAGAAGGAAATGGCAAACCACTCCGCTATCTTTGCCAAGAAAACGCCAAATGGGGTCACAGAGAGTCAGACACAACTGAAACAACTGAGCAACAATGACTGTGTTGATTTGTTTGCATTGAAAGCTCATTTGGTGCAAAGGAGAGTTCTGGGGGGCTGGAGTCAGTAGAAAGTTACACATACACGTAGGTACATACATATACACATAATCATGCACATATGTATAATCTCACCATCAGTAAAACAAAAAAATGCCCACAAAACTAAACATTCAGAAGAGGAGGAGGTAAACAAGGCAATTTCATTACTATCATGATAAATTTAATATACATTGTTAAAAACAAATTGTATGTAATAGGAATTTGTGGTTTCATACACAATTCCTTTGTCTGCTCTTTGGATTGATGACTGTTACATTCATAATAAAAAAATAAAATATTCCCCCAAAAAGAAAGTACCTTAGAGGCCATCTAGTGCAATCCCATAATTTTACACATAAAGAAACTGAGATTTAGAGAGGCGTGCCCAAGGTCACACAGATTTATTTATATCATTATCATTTATATTAATAATAGCTAGATAGCATTCATAGGAGCTTTAAGGTTTACTTGTTCTTCCTTCCCTGGGGTCACACAGCAAGGAAGTGTCTGAAGTTAGATTTGAACTCAGGTCCTCCTGACCCCAGGGTCAGTGCTCTATTCACTGTGCCACCTAGCTGCTCCTAAAGTTTGCAAAACACTTTACAACATGTTTTCTTACTTGATCCTCGCAGAAATCTCAGGAGGTAGGTCCTTTATTATCCCCATTTTGCAGATGAGGAACTGAGGTTGATAAAAGTTGTATTACTTGCCAAAGATCATATCACTTAGTAGGCATCTGAGGTAGGATTTGAACTCAGGTCTTCCTGACGCCAGGTCCTGCGCTGCACCACCTAGCTGGTGGCAGAGGTGGGATATGAACCCAGGTTCTCTGACCCCAAATCTACTGTTCTCACAGATGATCTGAATTCCTCCAATTTGCCATTTCTAACTGGCAATACTATTCTGTTACATTCATATGACTGTTAAGCCGTTCTCCAGTCCAAGGGTCCCCACTTTAATTCCTGTTCTTTGCTACCACAAAAAGTCCTGTTCTAAATATTTCAGCTCACACAGGATGTTACTTTCTATCTTTGACTTCCTTAGAGTATATGCAAAGCAGAAGGATCACTGGAAAATAAATCATGACTAATTTAGTGACGTTTGTCAGATAATTCCACATCATTTCCCAAAATGGTTGGCTCAGTTTACGCTCCACCAACAGTGTATTAGCATGCCTGCTTTCCCACAGTCCCACCAACATAGAGCGTTCCCTTTTTTTTTAATTCTCCTTGCTGATTTGCGGAGTTTGCAGAGTTTTAATTAGCCCGTCCCTTGCACGTGGTACAGAACGTGTTCATAGCTGTTGATAGATTGCATTTCTTCTTTTGGAAGTGGTCCGTATTCTTTGGCGTATTTCTATCTTGCCCAAGCCTTTGTGAGCCTGCTCCATTCCTGGTGGTCCTGGTAACATGGTTTCCCCCATCAGGCAGGCCTTGTTGAGCTGTTCTGTGTCAGTCCCACCTGAACACTCTAGAGTTTTCAGATGCCGCCTTTGTTTGTTGATCTTCTCTCATGAAGCTTCCTCTCTCTTCTTTCTAGGAAACCCACAAAGTGTACAGGCAGAAGTTGGAGGAGCTGACCACACTCCAGGCGTCCTACAGTAGCTCCATCAGCAAGCAGAAGAAGCGGCTGTCGGACCTCAAGGGTAGTCTCCAGAGGTAAGGGAGGACAACCTGTGTGCCCTTCGACCTCCAGACTGGGGGGAGGGGCACGTGGCTGGATCTCTAACTCTGGAGCTAGTTTGGCCCTGTCTTTTTCCACATCTCAATTAGTAACACCCCATTGCTGACTGAGTCAGGCTTTGATTTTCACCTATGGTCCTACTTTCTTTCCCTTCCTCCCTCCTTTCTGCCTCCCCTTCTTTTCTTTTTTCCCTTCCTCCCTTTCTGTTCCTCTCTCCTTTTTATCCCTCCCCCTTTCCATCCCTCCCTCTCTCTTCTTCCTTTCCCTCCCTTTTCCATCCTTTCCTTCTATCCCTTCCTCTATTCTTCCCTCCTTCCCTTTCCCTCCCTTCTCCTTTCTTTCCCTCTGCCCTTCCTTCTTTCTCCCTCTCTCCCTTCTTTGTGTTCTTCTCTTTTTCTAGTTCTAGTTCTTCCCTCCCTTCTTTTCATTCCTTCCTCCCTCCCTCTTTTCCTCTATCTAGTTCTTCCTTCTTTTCCTTCCTCCCCCACCCTTTACCTCCCTTTCTCCATCTTTTCCTTTCTTTCTCTAGTTCTCTCCTTCATCCCTCCCCCTCTCTCTCCCTCCCTTCCTTTCCTCTTTCTGTGTCTGTTGAATACTTAGGAAAGGCAATGCTGTACAGTGGATAGAGAGCCGTCCTCATAGCCAGGAAGGCCCTGAGTTTAAAAAGTTCTGCCTCTGACACATTGGCTGTGTGACTCTGGGCAAGTCATTTGTCCTGTCTCTGGGCCCTCCCAGGAAACTCTCAGAGTCTGAATTACGGAGAAGCGGCTTACCTGCATTGGTGGAAGGAATTTCCTCATCCAGGAGTTCCCCGTATTAATGAAATAACAGGTTCAGTCCCTGCCCCTGCTGAAAGCTGGGTATTGAATGTTACACACTTAAACTTGTTTAGTGGATATTTGCAGTCAAACTAATTTCAGGGACTAAAATGTCGTACTAACTCTTGCCCCCTTTCCAGGAAACAGTGCAGTATAACAGAGAGGTCTAGCCCTAGGGGTAGACAGCTTGGACTTCACTCCTTCCTGAGTCACTTCCCAGCTTCCTTGCCTTCTCTGAGTCTCAGATTTCTCATCTGTAGAATGGGGGGTGATGATGCCTGCACTGATGACAGCACAGGAACAGATGTGGTCATGGATGTCATAATCAGTTGTTAAATATTTATTAAGCACCTGCTAAGTGCCAGGCACTGTGCTAAGTGCTGGGATACAAAAGAGACAAAAGCTAGTCCCTGCCCTCGAGCTCTCAGTCTAAGGGATCATAGAAACAGAGCTGGAAGGAACCTTCAAGGCCATCATCACCAACCCTCTCATTTTACAGATGGGGAAACTGAGGCCCAGAGTGATGAAGTGAGTCACCCAAGGTCACACAGCTAATAAATAGCAGAGATAGGCTTTGAACTCAGGTCTTTGGAATCCCTGTTAAGCTTGCTTTATACTGTACCAAACTGCCTCCTATGGCATTTTTGAATGCACTGTGTACTATGTAAAAGCCAGCTGCCATTGTTGTAATTCCAACTACACATTTATTGAATGCCTACTGTATGCAGAGCACTGTGCTAGGCCCTAGTAGGACTGTGGCTGTGCTCTCAGAGAGCACCCAGACTAATGCAGGATATGACACATATAGATAATTATGACACAAGCCAGTATTTTGGATCAGCCAGTTTCCTGAGCCCAGAGTAAAGGAATCCACACACTTATGTTCCAGCTGGTTTGAAAGTTTTAGCTGTTCTGGGAGTGAGGAAGTTGGGGAGGGGAGGCAGTGCATCGTTATGGGAGAGCTCTGAATTTGGAGTCATAGGACTTGGGTTTGAATCTCAGCTCTGCTGTTTATTGCCTCTGTGACCGGGTGGGAGAGTCAGGGGGAGGGGGGGGAGCAAGTGCCTTCAGTTCTCTGGGTCTCCTTTTCTTCATTTATGAAATGAGGGCATTTTTCTAAACTGACAGACCTATAAGGTGCCTTCCAGTTCTAAATCTATGATCCTGCAATCCTATTGCCTTTAAAATAGTTGTTTTCCAGTGTTTAGCAGGCTGAAGACCAAGTTACAAGATTATAGACCCCCAATTTATAAATAAGCGCCCTTTGGTGGCAAGGGAGACTCTGTCAGGGGAGTGTGGATGACTTTGTGCTAACCCCTGCCCACTGTTGGAAAAAGAACTGAAAGCTCCTATCTTAGTAATGCAAGCATAGGCTTTGTCTCTGTAAATGACAACATATGGTTTGTGAATGCATTGTTCTGCATTCATTAATTCCTGAAACATTCATCTAGCGCCTCATAGTCTAATGCAAGGTAGAGGTCACACTCCTCGCTCTCCAGGCGGAGGGTGTGCCATCTGAGCTGTTTTTCCAGTTTGGGGGAAGAGTTTTTGTTAAGAAGTACACTCAGACCACATATTATTATAGAGCTTTTACTTCCCAAGTACTTACCCTCTTGTTAATCCACATGGCATTCCCACGAGGTGTCAGGGGCAGGTTTGATTGCAAGTAGAACATAAGCTCCTTGAGGGCAAGGACTGTCTCCCTGAGTCCCTTTCTGGCTTTGTACCACTAATGCCTGTCATGCAGGAAATGCTTAATAAATGCTTGTAAATTTGATTGTCTCTATTATGCAGAAGGTAAACTGAGGCAGAAGGAAGGATCACAGATGTAGAGTTGGAGCTCAGAGGCCATCTTAGTCCAGCCCTTTCATGTTATATATGGGGAAACCAAGGCTCATGTTGGTGATTTGTCTAAGGTCATGCAGGTAGTGTCAGAGGTAGGATTTGAACTCAGGGCCTCTGATTCTAGAGTGAGTGTACTTTATTCTCTATCACATGGTTAAGAAGCCTGACTATAGGCTTTAAGTGAGGGGGATGGTGGAGATGCCTTTGCATGCCCAGACCTGGAAGAGTCTAGACATGCTGGCAGCTAGCTGAGCCAACACTCCCACCCCTTTCCCTTTTCATCTCAACAACAGGTGTAAGCGGCATGCCAACTGTGAAGAGGCCGACCTCATTCAGCAGATGAGTGCCAGCATCAAGGAACGGCAGAATATCTTCTTTGACATGGAAGCTTACCTGCCCAAGAAAAACGGGTAGGGGGCGATGGGCAGGTGGGGGGAGGGTCTGGGTCTGCAGGTGCAGGGGTGGGAGACTCTGGTTGCTTCCCTAGGCTTGGCCAGGCCTAGTGCTGCAGGAGAGATGATGGACAGACTAGCCAGTTAAGGAGGCCCCAGGCAGATGGATATCTCTGCCTTCTCGGAACTGTCTGGGGCAGCGAGTTGGTGAGGTCACATGCAGAGCCAAGAAAGAGAGTCTTTCATAGTCTGGCTCCAGGCCTCTTGTGTTTCCAGGCTGATCACGAGTCTTGACCATCATCAACTCCGTGGTCCAGCCAAGTTGGCCTTCTTGCCGCCCCACCTATACAACTCAAGGCTTTCCTGGCTGCAGGACAACACAGATCCCCCGTCTGCAGGAGTTTCTTAGTCTTCCCCCACTGCTAATGCCTTCCCTCTGAGCTTACCTCCCACTTATGCTGGATGAATCTTGGGTGTGCCTGGTTTTTTCCCCCAGTGCTTAACACGGTGCCTGGCACATAGTAAGTGCTTGAAAAATGCTTGTTGATTTGACTGACTGCCTCTGGGTTTTCCCAGAGGCTGTCCCTTATTCCTGAAATTCCCTCCCTCACCCCCCAACCACTGGAGGTTGGAACATGTGCCTTCACAAACCATATGTTGTCATTTACACAGCCAAAGCCTATGCTTGCATCATTAAGACAGGAGCTTTTGGTTCTTTTTCCAGCAGTGGGGAGGGGGCTGCCCTAAGTCATCCACGTTCTCAACCCTACACCTTCAAGTCTCAGCTCAAGTGCCCCCTCCTTCAAGAGGCCCTTCCTGGTTCCTGCCCATCCCCCTCACTGCAGTCACTATATTTATTTGGCGTCTACCCTAAATTTAGGTGTCCTTGAGAACAGGGACTGTCATTGGCTGGTGCCTAGCATAAGCTCTTGTGGATAGAAATACTAAGAAATACTCTTAGAAATACTTATTGATTAATTGGTTGAGAAGGGTCTGGTCCCTTAGCAGCTACAGGAGGTGTAGTGATGGAATATAAAGGGCTTTAATTGCCAAGCTGAGGAGTTTCTATTTTATTCTAGAGGTAATAGGGAGCCATTTGAGGTTCTTGACCAGGGGAATAACATAGTTAGCCTTGTACTTTAGGAAGGTACCATTAGGAAGCTCCCAGGGCTAGTAAGGGTAGGTATTTAACCCTGACATCCTGTTCCCAGTGAACTGAGATGTCATCTTTGCCATAAAAGAAGGCAGCGGTGCCTCCTTGGCCTGGCCGGATTCTGAGTCAGCTCATCCCACTTATATTTCCCTGATTGCCTTCTTAAATGCTTTAGTAAAGGTATACATTTGCATGATTTTTAAAACAATCGACTTTATAACTCTAGTGGCAATAACAAACATTTGATGACTATAACTAGCTTGTGACCCTGGGAAATTAACGCTCTGGACCTCAGTGTCCCCATTTGGAAAAGGAAGGGTTTGGACTAAATGTTATCTCTGAGGTCCTTCCCGGCTCTGACATTCCCTGTTCTAAGGCCCCTTTCAGATCTGACATTCCTTGTTCTAAGGCCCCTCCCAGCTCTGACATCCTTTGTTCTAAGGCCCCTCCCAGCTCTGACATTCCCTGTTCTAAGGCCCCTCTCAGATCTGACATTCCCTGTTCTAAGGCCCCTCTCAGCTCTGACATCC